CAGTGCCCATGAGGGCCCCTACAGTGCCTGAGGTTCTAGTGTTCAGGGCGGGCTACGGTTGAGGATGTTTTTTGGGATTTTGTCAAGAGTGTTAGGACATCTAGGACATGAAGAAAGTCTTACATGGCCTAAATCGTTCAGGGTAGGGCTTAGGGCTGTGCGGGCCCCAAACTTAGAGAGCCGTAAACTCCTGTTGCATGTGTGCAAGCATACTTTGAAGGATATGCGTCAACCGAATGTACCAGGAGGGAAGCCCTTTTGGGGTCAAAATAGATACCACAACGCCGACAGCAACTGTGCGAAGAACCCTTATGTATTATCGATCCCTTGTTTGGGTTTTGCCGGATCATATGTAACCTAAACCCTAAACCCTAAACCCTAAACCCACTAATTCTTAAACCCTAAACCCTAAACCCACTAATTCTTCCACCTTAAACTCCATGAACCAGGAAAACAAGAAACCTGAATCTCAAGGGCCTTCTAGAACCCTATAAACCATCAGCAGCCTGTACTTCTCTGAAGGACCGTCATAACTAGAAAAGGGTTTCGGAGCACATTGTACCGTAGTTGCAATTAGGATAAGGATTAATGTCGGTCATTACGTAAACCCTAAACCCTAAACAGTACATATTAAACCCTAACCATACGCCCTGATATAAAAAAGACCCTAGACCCTAAACCCTAAATAAAAAAGTAGGACGTAGACGTCCGCCTCAAGGTCCGAACAACCGCTGGCAGCGACGGCCCAGGTCTTTCACCGAAATGGGGTGTGGGTGTCGGAATTGCGGGTTTAGGAGTTTGACGTTTCAGGGTTTGCGGATGTAGGGTTCTGTGTTGAGGGTTTCTTGGGGGGGTTTAGGGTTTAGGGTTTTAAGAGAGGGTTTCGGAGATACTGAATAGCCCCAGCCAGAGTCTACTTAAGGAGCAATGCCGTGAGGAAGACGTTGGCATGGGCTCAGGCTCCGCCTGAAGCCCATTTCATCATAGTTTCCTAAGGGTTTAGGGTTTAGGGTTTAGGGTTTAGGGTTTAGGGTTTCCTATGTTACACAAGGCTTTGTCAGGTTTTCTGATCATTTGTAGGTTTTGCAATATTTGTAAACGGGTCTTGGATAAGTGTTTAGGGGATTTAAACAGTAGAGAGTGGCCTGCATAATTTGAGTAGGGCATATGTGACACTTCACAAACATGTTCGGGATGTTCAACAAAAGCATCCCTACACCCTAGACCGTATGGCCTACTCCTGTTCATGACGGTAATGACGACGATGATTGAGCAAATGAAAACGTGGCTGCCCCAGTCTCGAGGAAACCTTGAACCCTAAGCCCCTAAAGCCTAAACCCTACAACCCTAAACCCTTAAAACAATAAACCCTTAAAGCCTAAACCCTGAACCCCTCCGTTTTCAGTTCTCTCGCATTGTCAAGTCGAAGGTTGCTCCCAATCTGATCACGGCCGACGGCCGCCTCAGTTGAATGCGATCGTGCCCAGATCTTCTTAAACCCCTTAAGGAATACCTAGAATCAGATTCGAATCCTTCTATATTTTGATGTAGTATATATGGACCCTCTAGGAACCAGAACCAGCTGGAGTTTTCTGACACAGGGTCCCTGATAGTAACCCGGGTAGTATAGTCCCGGCATACGATGCTTTGATAGCCGGCCGTGTACACGGTATACGGGGATGAAACGTCAAGCTACTCTTCGCCGGGCACCACTTGGGTGGTTTTTCAAAATTGGGGTCCCCTTTTAGGTCCCCAAAATAGTACGGCACCCTAGTAACAAGGACCCTAAAAGGGACCCTAATTTGGAGAACTACCCACTTACAGCTGTTGAGCTTTGGGGGCGGCATGTCGGGTCCGATGGCATGCGCAGCTGGGGGTCAATGCCATAGAGATACGGAGAATTCTCCGATCTCAACCTCAACTACAAGAACCCAGAGAACCCAATACCCCTTAATTAAGGAATATACCTTATTAAACCATAATACTAAGGCACCTATAAGTTAAGGTATGTTCCTTAACTATAACGGGTATTGGGTTCTCTGGGAAGGGCATGACAGGCCTCGAGCATGCCGATCGTGTTCTTTGGGAACAGGTCCCGGCTTTGCCTGCGGCGAATTGGAAGTTGGATGATGCTCTGCACCAGGTGACTGTGGTACGCAGTTCTTTGCATGTGGGTAGCTTTCTAAATTAGGAGTTCTTTTAGGGTCCCTTTTTGTAAATAAGGGTGCCGTATTATATTGGGAACCTAGAAAGGAACCCTAATTTGGAGAACTACCCATGTGCTTTTGGCCCCTCGCCCTTTCTTTCCGAAGCCCAACGGGAAGGGCCAGGGAACTCTGGCCATGGATGAAGCCGAGATTCTCAAGGACTAAGGAAGGACCCTCAAAGGGACCCTTGGGGTTGTATAGGGGCTTTGTGAGACTATATACGGGGCATATAGGAGTTATATAGGGTATTTGGATCCGGGGTCCCTTCTAGGGGTCCCTCCTATTGTCCCTTAAGAGATGGAGGGGAACCAGCCGGAGGCGAACATGAATGTGCACACAGACCCAGACCCCCGGAAGGATCCACAAGGTAGATCCCTGAATGGGAGGTCCTACAGGGCCCTTTGTAGCATAGAGCCCCAAATTAGGGGTTCTATTTTCTAGATCCTCCCCCCTCTGGGGACCCAGATGGAGAAGGCCAGAGCGAACCAGACTCGGGGGATGAGGCAAAAGCACCTGAGCCGATTCTAGTCCCTATAGTAACTTTGAACACCCCCCCTAAACCCTAAACCCTAAACCCACTGGAAGATCTAGAATTTCATCCACAGTCGGCCGGGAGCCCTTAGCTCCCAGAACCATCCTTGTGCCCTCCAATTCGGGCTAATGGGCCCTAAGCAGCGGGAGTTTAGGGGTCGAAAAGAGGGTAGATGAGGCTCCCCAGCCATTCCAAAATCCTTTCATCAGAGAAACAAACCTTTCAATTGACTTGGGGTCCTAGTAGAAGTTAGGATATAGACCCTAAACCCTCAACCCTAAACCTTAAACCCTCAACCCTAAACCCTAAACCCTAAACCCTCCTATATTCCTTAAGGGATATCGGAAGATCTGGTTCCTCCTTCCGAAGCTCCTGACAGCCACGACTCCGGAGGCTGCGGAGGCGGCCTCCGCATGCGAGCGCGCCACCAGGCCATAGAATTGGGGTTTAGGGTTTTTGGGTTAAGGGTTATAGGGTTTAGTAGGGTAATTTGGGATATAGAATTGGGTTTTGGGGTTTAAGGGTTTAGTAGGGCAATTTGGGATTAGGTTGCCACGTTGCAGGACTTGGGGTTTGGGTATGGGGTAACTTGCTTTTTTGGCAGTGTTCGGGCGAAGAGGTTGGTTTTTGGGAGGGCTCCACTCGAGCTGGGTGGTTGGATTGCATGCATATATATATATATATATATATATATGTTGATATGCTTTTATTACACGAAATACAGTAACGTCGTTTTCTTGCACTTCCTAAACCCTAAACCCTTAATCCTTCTTGTGGATCTCTTCGTCTTTCATTGGTCTAGCGTACTACTCCAATCCAAGCCTGCTCCGGTCTTTGGGGCGCCTCCTTAGGGCTTAGAGTTTAGGGTTTAGGGTATAGGGTGATTTGTTGCAACTCGTGACCCTCAACCCTCAACTGACCTTGAACTGAAACCCTGAACCCCCTGAGCGCTGATGCTTGCAGCCCTGCGAACCCACCTCGAGACCCTGTAAAAACAATGAAAATCCCTCTACAGTCAGTTTTGTAAGTGTGCCTGTGAGCACGTATCCTGCACAGAAACCCAAAGTATAACGCGCATTGCAGCCAGCTATGTGTACGTATGGGGGTTCTTAGCTAGGTAGGATTTGCATAAGTTCGTGAAAGTACAGGACGGGCTACATAAATAGATATACGCTGGTACTTCTTTAATCTATCATTGTATGTCATATACATATATGTTAGTGTTTATAACCGTACATATATATACACACACACGCATAGATGCATACATACATAGACATATACATACATACATACATACATACATACATACATACATACATTCATTCATTCATTCATTCATGCACATATACATAATATATTCATAAATTCATGCATACATAAAAACATACATACATGCAGGCATAGATACTTGCATATGCAGCCATAATATATTAGAATATATATATATATATAAGTAAGTTAAGTAAATAAAGTAAGTAAGTAAGTAAGTAAGTAAGTAAGTAAGTAAGTACGACAGTAAGTAGGCAAGTAAGCAAGTAAAAAAGTAAAGTAAAGTGAAGTAAAATAAAGTAAAGTAAAGTAAAGTAAAGTAAAGTAAAGTAAAGTAAAGTAAAGTAAAGTAAAGTAAAGTAAAGTAAGTAGGTAGGTGAGTATGTAAGCAGGTATGCATGAACGTATGTATGTATGTGTTTCTGTATGTATGTATGTATGTATGTATGTATGTATGTTTGCATGCATGCATGCATGCATGCATGCATGCATGCATGTATGTCTGTATGTGCGTACGTACGTACGTACGTACGTACGTACGTAGGTAGGTAGGTAGGTAGGTAGGTAGGTAGGTAGGTAGGTAGTTATGTATGTATGTATGTCTGTATGTATGTATGTACGTATGTATGTATGTATGTATGTATGTACGTAATGTACGTAGGTAATGTATGTAATGTATTGTATGTATGTATGCATGCATGCATGCATGCATGCATGCATGCATGCCTGTATGTATGTTTGTATGTGTGTATGTATGCATATGTGTATGTATGTATGCATGCATGAAACAAAACCAGTACGAACTCTGATGTTATAAGGCTTTCCACACATCGGAAAATCCAATACTCCCTAGACCCTAAGCCCTAAAGCCCTAAACCCTGAACCCTAAACCCCAAGCCCTAAAGCCCTAAACCCTGAACCCTCAACCCTAGACCCTGCAAGCCCCTGAACACCCTGAGCCCTAATCATTGTCGGAACCTGTGAGCCAGGTGCCCCTGGACTTGGTGCAGCAGCTGCGTGCAGCACAGCAAGGGCTACCGAGGCCTGGTTCTGTGTACAAAGTATAAACCCTGTAAAGCGCACCTAGACGCTAGACTCTAAAGCACCAAACCCAAAACCGTAAACTCTGAAGGAAGCACGCCCTATGAGCGCTGGAAGAGGTAGACTTTGCGAGGTGGAAGGCAAAAAAGACCCCCCCCTAAACCCTAAACTTTAAACCTCAATCCCCTAAACCCGAAGCCCCAAGCCTGTTGTGTGAAGCCGAGCCCTGCCCAGACCTCTTCCGGCTCTTCTGGCAGCGGCTGCATCAGGTCTTGGGCACTGTTTCATTATTTCCTTCTCACTATTCCCGCTTCTATTCCATTATAACTACTATCTGTATTGGTATGAGGCTTAGTATTGGTATTAGTGTTCGTACGGCTGTAGTTATTTATTGTTTATTCTTCTTAGTACCGTTAGTAGCATTCTTATTATTCGTTCCGTGCTGTGCATGAGCACGACAGGGGCCCATTTACAACAATCCCGGAAAGAATTCTGATGCAGGGTCCTGGAAGGGTTTTACAAGGGTACCATCGGGATCCAAAGTGTAGGCTTTTGCGGTTTAGGGTCGAGGGCGCGTGTTTTCAGGGTCCTGGTTTATGCTATCGATGTCTAGGTACCCGATTTTTCCGTTCATGGTTCCTTCAAGGGAGGCTTGAGAGTCCTGACATAGTCCCTGAAAAAGGGGGGTGGTTCAGGATGTACTAGAGGTGGTTCCGGGGTCTAGGTTGGGCTTTTGGGGTTCATGATACCCTAAACCCTAAACCCTAAACCCTGCTTCCATGAATTTGCCTTCGTGAGCAGGGGAGCTTCTTGTCAGCTCAGGGCTCCCATGTGCCAACAGGCAGAAGGGCTTGCTTTTCAGGGCCACCACATGCGCTCCGTGTATGTATTGTATGTATGTATGTATATATGTATGTATGTATGTATGTATGTATGTATGTGTGTATGTATTTACGTGTATGTATGTCTGAGATTTTGCTCACCACTTCGTGCTGTGCCATGCAACCTACGGCCCGCCGTGCCATGCTGGTGTCATGGGCCTCTCGGCTCTTGTCAAGGCGTCCTTTTGATTTTACAAGGTTTCTGAACGTCCGACAAGCTGCAGAACCCTATGCCGGTTTTATGAAATCCTTCAAAGCCTGAACAACTACTAAACCAAGTTTCTTGCCGCGTGAGCGCTTATTCAGAACACCGTATACCCCATAAAAACCTTAGAGAACATCCCTTTATAAGCCCTGAAAGCATAGTGTAAAGTCTGTAAAGACTGAGCATCAGCTAAACCCTAAATCCTAGAACCTAAACCCTAAACCCTCAATGAACCCTGGCCCTGAACCCAAATTGAACCCAGGCCTTGCTTCTACGGCTCTGCTGGGTTGGGGGGGGCCCTCCCCACGCTCGCACCCGCGCTCCTCGCGTCGCGCGACGAGTCCAGGGCCTCTTTGGCCTTACGATGAAGTCCTGTTAACGTTTTGGGGTTTGGGGGTATATAGGGTTTTAGGGTTTCGGGGTTTAGGGTTTAGAGTTAGCTAAATTTAATAGGATTCTGTGATAGGGTTTATGGAAGGCATGGACGTATATAGGGGATAACATGCTTGTGCAGTCTGTGTTTTTGTCTGTGCGTTTGGTGCACGCGGAGTGTGCGTACAGTGCGCGCCGTGCGTGCGTACAGTGCGCGCGGTGCGTGCGTACAGTGCGCGCGGTGT